GATTATAATGTACTAGATGGCTATGAAAGCCTGAATAAAGCATAAAGCCTTCATACTTATAAGAGTGAATTTTGCATTGTACTTATCAACACATCATCATCCATTTAGTTCAAAGCTGTACAAACAGTAATCAGTCCCTTTAAGGAGATATCCAACACAACAATGCAACAGAAGCAATAAGGGTCTTGATTAGTAGGGAGGGCAGAAGCACAAAAGGGGTGTACCTAACCTAGTCATGGGAATTCAGAGGAAGCCTCATGGAAGAGGTAAAAACTGAGCTGAAATCTGAAAACCAGAGTAGAACATAGCCAACCAAGTGGAATGAAAATATGGGAATGATAATCTCTCTCTAAAGGGCAATTCTTTATAAATAGGACAGAGGAATGGTGACAAGGCCCAATTTCTTAAGCCCTGAAAGAGTGCACTAGGAACAGACATATATCCTGGGAGTAGTAAGCATTCACAGAATAGTTGTCAGAAGAACTAATGTGATTAATAATAAATAAACACATATGAATTGGTAGGTTTAAGGATATCTCTTGCTATACATCTTTCTGAGATCAGTCTTCTCATCTGTAACATAACTTACTTGAATTCTGTGAGTATGGGATTTTTTTCAAGCAGTCAGTGAGAATGCAGATTTTGAAGTCATATGCTCAGTGTGAATTTGATTTCTGCCAGCCACTAGTTTTTGTGTGTGGGGTTTTGTTTTTTTGGTGAGACTGGGCTTTGAATTCAGGGCTTTGTGCTTGCAAAGCAGGTACTTTACTGCTTGAGCCTTGCCTTCAATCCACTTTGCTCCAGTTATTTTAGAGACAGGGTCTTGAGAACTATTTGCTTGTTCTGGCCTTGAACTGTAATCCTCTGAGCTCAGTCTCCCAAGTAGTCAAGTAGTTAGGATTACAGGCATGAGCTTCAGGTACCCAGCTGTTTTATTTTTGGTACTGCTGGGTTTAAACTCAGGGCCTGGCATTTACTAGATGGGTACTCTAACACTTGAGCTATGCCTTTTTTTTTTTTAATTATTATTTTTCAGGTAGGATCTGGAGTTTCTTGGGGCTGGCCTCAGACCACATTCCTCCTACCTATGGCCTCTGGTGTAGCTGGCTCAAGTCACATACCACCATACCTAGTTTACTGATTGAGATGGGGGGGTCTCACTAATTTTTCACCCAGGCTGGCCTTGAACCTCGATCTCCCAGTCTCTGCTTTCTGAGTAGCTGGAATTATAGGCAGGAGCCATCATACCCAGTTGCTTTGTGGTCTTGAGCAAAGTACTTTTATATACTGGATTTACTTCTTCAGTTCTTTCTTCACAGCATTAGGGAGATTTTATAATGCAAGGCTAACATTTAGCCAATATACTTCTGGAATGACGGTACTGGTGGTTAAAATACTGAAATATTTACATATGAATTGCTATACAGCTAGTCCTGTAAGCACTTTCAGTACCCTTCCACCATACCTTGGAACATTGGGGACCTCCTCATGATTCAGCAATTAAAGGATGTCTAGTATAGAAAATCCTGGCATGGGAATCTCTACAGATATTCTGATTGCTTTGATACTGTAAGAGTTTGAAAACCATTCAAAATAATATAAGTGAAGTGCCTGGCACATTGTGGACATTCAATAGATACTCATCAAATTTAAATTTACTTGTATTAGCCCATGGATTCATTCTATGGGTTTAATAGGGAATGGTCTTCTACTGTGTGATACCCACTTCTACACTTATTGGGGCATACTATTATTATACATCTGGTTCATTGCTTCTCTGCCACCTCTTTGGAGAGAATTTAAAGCTAGCGTGCTAAGAAGTAGACCTTTCACTGTGGGTAAACAGAAGGGTTCAATGTTAAAGCATCAAGACAGCCTGTTGCCCCTTATGAATCCGAGCTTCTTAACATGGCTCCATGTGACTGTGTGCTGTGATAAGACAGGTCAAAGGCTATTTGGAGATCCTGACCTCCTTGGCTTATTTCTCTTCTTGATTGCTCCCATGTATCTGGTCTGGGGTTTCCAGGGAGGGGTCTAAGGGAAGGAAGGCCATCTAGGTCTGCCTTGATTACACAAGACAGTTCTCTAAGCTTTACTTGATCCAGCTCAGCTTACTAAAGCTAAGGTATAACAGACAGGTTTGGGAGCCTGTAGCTGCTTTAAAACTCAGGTCCAAGGCTGGGTACCCATGGCTCATGCCATGCTACTCAGGAGGCAGAGATCAGGAGGATCAAGGTTTAAAGCCAGTCCCATGCAAATAGTTCATGAGACCCTATCTCAATAAAACCCATAACAAAAAAAGGGCTGGTGGAGTGGCTCAAGATGTGGGCCTTGAATTCAAACCCCAGCACTGCCAAACAAACAAACAAACAAAAACATCTTGGATCCAAAATTTTCTGACACTACTTTTATCAAGAAGTAGCAATGATGTACCCTTTCTCTGAGTCTGGGCACTGTGCCTGGTTGACTGAAATAATATAGTAGAGTATTACTGTGGCAGTTTCTGGATCCAGGTTTTAAAAACTGCCATCTCTTGGAATGTTTTCTCTTAAAACCTAGCCATCATGCAGTAAGAAGCAATCCAAGCAACCTATGGTGAAACTCATGGTACTGGTTGAGCCACCAGCCAAGAGCCAACACAAAATTGCCGGCAATGCGAATGAGCCTTTTTGAAAGTGGATCCTCTCATTCCTGTGAGCTGCCCTAGCTGATGCCACATGGAACAAAGAGGAGCTGTCCCCCCACTGAGCCCAGCCAAAACTGAATGTCATAAGCAAAAATAAAATGTTTCTTTTCGTTTTAAGCCACTAATTTTGGGAGTGGTTTGTTACAAAGCAATAGATAATCAAAACAGGCTCAAAAGAGCCAACTAGTAATGAAGCATTCTTTTGCCTAGCCTTATCCTTCCTAGAAGTAACTCCCTTGAAAACCCTTGGCAGAGATGGGTACTTGGGTTTCACTTTTTTATATCTTTCCACATTAATGTTTTTCTTTGTAGTTTAGCATAATTGGCAGGAGATAGGCAAGCTGCACTACATTAAGTATGCAACTTAGTTGGTCATAGTTATTCACAGAGACACAGAAAGAAAAAAAAATCACTATGTTTTGCTGTAAGTAGGAATATAAGGAGTTTTAGACCTAAACCCCTAAAAGGAATCCTTAATTTTGATGCTCTATTTTGAAGCAACAAAGACTGTCTTTGTCTTTGGTTTAAGACATTCTCTAAAGGTCGACCAATAGATTCCACAAATTACCCTATACACTTTAAATATATGCATATTTCCATATACATATATATGGAGATGGGGGTTTCATGAGCTATTTGCTGGGCAGGACTCAAACCATGATCCTCCTATCTCAGCCTCCCAAGTAACTAGGATTACAGGCATGAGCCATGAGCACCCAGCTTGGTCCTCTTTCTTTCTTTGCCTCACTAATTCCCTCATCCTTCAGTTCCTGCATCCTTCCTTTCCACAATGTCTACCTTTTCCTTCCATCATGGAAGGGGGAATGGGATATCTCATATTATTGCAGCTGGGCCTAGTGACATAGCTACTATTAGGTAAACTCACTTTGCAGATGGAACCTGAAGCCAGAGGCTGAGGCAGGAGGGCCATAATTTTGAGGTTAGCCTGGACTACATAGCAAGACCTTGTCTCAAAAACAAAATAAAACAAAACAAAACCTGAAGCCAAAGCAGTTCAAAGACATATAGTCAGTAAATTGCAGGAGTTAGAATTCAGAGCTTCTGAGTCCATGTCTCATGTTTTTGTTACTGCTATGGAGCTAGGTATCATCTCATGAAAAAGCATAGCTCATCAAGGTTGAAAGGAACTGTTGAACTCGTCGTATGTTCAGACTTCTCATGTTACCAATAGAAAGTACCTAGTCCACAATATTGGCCTGTTTTGTACAAGTATTAGGACTGACAGAGGATGAATATTTAGAGCATCTGACCAAGAGTAAGGAGACCTACATTTAAATCTCTGATAACTTACTCTGACCATAGGAAACTACGGCGAGTCTCTGAACTTTCAGTTTTTCCAACTTTAAACTGGGGAATAGAGAGGAGGATAAAATGAAAGACTTGGTTTAGGTGACCCTTGAGGCTTACCAGGTTTATGTTTTCTGATTAGAAAAGGGATAGCTATCCAATTGCTGTTACTAAACTTCTTGATGACATGCCCCTGGTACTTTAGCTCAGTGATTTACCAACTTTTTCTGTAGTGTCAAATAAATATTTTAGGTTGTATGGGCCATACCATCTCTGTGGCAACTATTCGGCTTGGCCATTGTAGGACAAATGCTGCCTCAGACAATATAAACAAATGAGCATGGTTGTGTTTGAATAAAATGTTATGGACACTAAAATTTAAATTCCATATAATTTGCAAATGTCTCAAAATAGTATTTCTTTTTTTAAAAAATCCATTTGATATGTGACAACAGTTCTTAGCTGACAAGCTGTAGTTTGCTCTGATCTAGCACAACACCTGGTATTAGAAGTCCAATCCGTGCCCAAAGGAAGGTTTCAAATACTCCAGGTGCTGGGGAAGAGGAGCTAGGACATAACAACTAAGAAAAAGGACAACTGGTCATGTTAGGAAGGGCCATATCAAAGAAAATGTGCCTTCTTTCCTTTGTGCACAGTCCTGTAAGTGATTTTGTTTATCTCTTCTGGCAGCTAGAGCTAAAAGATCTAGTCAGTCATAGTGGCTCAAGCCTGTAATCTACCTACTTGGGAGGCAGAGACTGAGAGGATTGCAGTTTGAGCGTACCCTAGGCAAAATGTTGATGAGAGCCCATATCAACCAATAGCAGGGTTGCACGCCTGTCATCCCAGATACTGGCGAAAGCACAAATAGGAGGATCGAGGTCCAGATTGGCATAAAGCAAGACCCTATCTCTAAAATAGCCAATACTAAAAGGCCTGATGGAGTGGCTCAAGTGGAACTTGCCTGCCTAGCAAGCGTGAGGCCCTCTACTCAATCCCCAGTACCACACGAAAAATACATATGTATATTCCAAATTCCTTTCCACAGTCAAAAGGCCTTAATGATCTGCCACCGGCATAGCTCTGTCACCTTTCACCTTCCATTCTTCCCTCACTTTACACTGCTCTGGTCAGTGATCCACGTGCTTTACTCCCTTTGTGGGACATTTTCTCAGTCTTTTCCTGCTTTTGCTCTTTCCTATCCTTACGTCTTGGCTTAACTGTCAGCTCTTCAGAGACCTTTTCTAACTACTTCTAACAAAATTATACCCTTCTTGTTTTTCTTTCGTTCGTGTTTCCTTCAACACCGAATCGTTCGCACTCACTGATTGGTGTATTAACGTGTTCAGGCCGGCCGCCTCCCCATCGGAGCTGGAACTCCGGCGATCAAACACTGGGTTTTGAGGGGCCGTGTATCACATGCCAGCTTCCGGCACAGCTCCCGACACGGCGAGGCACGGATTGACAAGCCTGAAGGCAGGACCGCCCCGCTCCGGCTTGCGGAGGATCCCGGCGTGGAAGCGTACAGCGGTCGCCCCGCCCCTTCCGGCAGGGGCGGACGCCGGGGCAGCTCGGTGGCGGGGCCTGGTGCCGCCCCGCCCCGCTTCGCGCCTCGCCGGCCGCTGTCAGAGACGCGGCGTATGCTGAGCTGCTGTCGCCACCGGCTGCTGCACGTTCTGGGCCCGACATCCCCGCTGCCGACCCTCGGGCCGCTTCGCCTCTGCCCTCGCCGCCCCATGAAGCCTCTGGTCGTGTTCGTCCTGGGCGGCCCCGGCGCCGGCAAGGGGACCCAGTGCGCGCGCATCGTCGAGGTGAGGCCGGGCGGCGGCGGTGGGCTTCCGGGGCTTGGCGGGAGGCGGGTGGGCTGTAGCCGCCACGCTGGCCGTCCGCGCTCCCTGCCGCGGGCCGCGGACTACGCGTCCCGACGGCCACCGCGCCGCCGCGTGGCGTTTCGGGGCGCGGAGTCTTCGGCATCCCGTCCCGCTGCGGGGCGCTGCTCGGGGCTTGTTTCTGCGCCCCACTTTTCTTATATTTTAGGGACTGGATGTGTCTCAAGAGTGGGCTGGGAGAGGGTTCCGGAGGGCCAACCATTGGGCCCCGCGCGCAGAGGTCAGTGTGTCGCTGGTGTGCGGAGGGTGAGCGTACAGGAGCGCGGATTTGGCCTCAAAGGGAGATCGGCTTCCCGCAGGCCCTCCAACTCCCAACCGTCAGCTAAGCCAGTTTATCCCAAAAGGTGTAAAGGCAGGGTTTTGCTTCAGGTGTCCTGCTCTTGAGTTCTCTCGGCCTTGTCCACCGGCGGCTTCTGGGCAGGGCCAGACCCTGGGGCTCTACCCGGGTCTTTGCAAAAGCGGTCGAGCAGTGTACCGAGCTCACGCTTAACCTTTGCCCTGATGCCAACTCATACTTTGTCCTTGGGCGAGTCACTTCCTCTCTCGGAGCCCCAATTGTCCCGTCTAAATATAAGAGGCATTGCACCCAGATGGAGTGAGAATACAAAACACCTCCCAACTCTAAAATGCTATTACTGTTTTTGTTTTGCTTTTGCTTTAAGGCGTGATAAGTTTGCCAGTTCAATTGTGTTAATAGTTTTCGGTCTAGAGTGACAGGTACATTGTTAGCTGTAGTGTTACGGTGAAGAAGACTTAATGTACAGTCTAGGGAATGTCTGGGAGAAAAACAGGTATGTAGAAACAAAAGAGGCTAGCAGTGGTGGGGTAAAACGCCCCCAAATCGTTGTTAAACTCTGTGACCAATAAAAGTTTTTGACCCACAACTTCTAAAATAATTTATTTTCCAGGATACTAGTTTTGATCTTTTACTTCTGTGTTCATACCATCAATTCTGGTCCTATTTTTTATGCTTTTAACAGCATCCAGGAAAAGTAGGATGTGTTCTGCAGCTGTATTTGTAATTACTGATCATTTTAGGAACTAGTTCTGTTAACAAAAAAATACACTATTCATTTTTGTTGTTTTCACTTTTTTGGCAGCACTGGTGTTTGAATTTAGGTCCTTTTGTGTACTGGGACTTGAACTCAGGGCCTTCACCTTGAACCACTCCACCAACCCAATTTTTGTGAAGGGTTTAACGAAATAGGGTCCTGGGAACCTTTTGCACAGGCTGGCTTCGAATTGCAATCATTCTGATCTCTGCCTCCTGAGTAGCTAGGATTACAGGTGTGAGCCATGGCACCCAGCATTTTTTACTTTTTAACAGACTAGTGGGCTGGGCATGGTGGGACAGGGCTGTAATTGCAGCACTGGGGAAGTTGATGGAGGAGGATAGCCAGCTGGACTCCAGCCTGGGCTGCACAAGATACTGTCTTAAAAAAAAACCAAGACAAGTGGCTGATTGCAGGTTTTTGTTTTATATCTTAAGTGACTTACATGTAATTAGTGTGAAGGGAAGGTACAAGGACTTTAGAGTCAAAGGGATATGGTTTTAACCCCTCACTCTGTCATCACTGTTTCTCTACTCCCAGAAAAGTTCTTACTTTTAGCTTGAGTTCCTCTGTAAAAAAAGGAGAAAAGTAGAAATGTCTGTCTTGTGTGATATTTGTGAATATTGAATGAGGTAAAACATCTGGCATACAGAGACAGATGCAAATTTTTCTCCAATTTGAACTTCCTGATCTTATTGAATTGGTTATTTTTATTTTGAGGTAACTTTAAAATTTGGCTTATGAAGTTTATATTTGAATGCACGTAAATATTTTGTTTCTGAATCATAATTTGCCATTAAATGTCCACACTAAACCTAATAATACCCATATTATACTCCACTGGATTAAGAATACTCTACAGGTTCTGTAACTGGTATTTATACTTTACTCTGTTCAGTAGAAGCTGATTTTTTTTGAAACTGTTAATTACCAATTATAAGATTCCATGATGAGTTATGTTCTATAATATAACATTTAAAATTTCAGTAATTATATGAACTTAAACAGTTTAAGTTACAAGATTTTCTTTGATGAACATGTTTGTGTTTGGTTCTATTTGGTTAAATATTATTAACCTGATAATAACTAATTTCAAGTAGTTTATATATCCCATAACTGATTAAATAAACACTGGAATATCTATGTTTAGTTAAGTCAGAAGTTCCCCTCACCCTTTGTGATTCTCTTGTATTTGGGCTCAATATTTTATTATATAGGCAATCATAGACCAAATGCCAAGAGATTGTAGTTTTTGGGACTAATTTTTTTTTTTGGTGATACTTGGGCTTGAACTCAGGGCCTACATCTTGAGCCACTACACCAGCCCTTTATTTGTGATGGGTTTTTCTGAGATAGGGTCTCACTGACTATTTGCCCAGGCTGGCTTCGAACCACCATCCTCCTGAGTAGCTAAGATTACAGGTTTGAGTCACCAGTGCCCGGCTTTGGGACTAAATTTTTTTCCCCGTAGGTAAAAAGTTATATAAATCAGTGCTGAAATCTGCAACTATCATGCCAAAGCTAATCTAGTTCACAGGTTACCTAAAATGTGGACTGAAGTAGAATTGATTTTGGGGAGGCGGGAGGGGGGGGAGCGGGGAATTGGATAACTTTCCATCACAGGTTGCCAGCAGAGAAGTATAGGTTTTTTTTTTTTTTTTTGAGTTGGAGTCTCACCTTGTAGAGACTGGTCTGTAGTGCTGGGTTTACAGATGTGCTCCTTGACCAGAAATTCGTGCTTCCTGCCTACATAACCTGAGGCTATTTTGGCCCTAAACCCTCAGGATTAGCATTACAATTAGGGAAGGGGGTGTAGTTGGAGGAAAGCTGATACTTTTCCTCTGGAAACAAACTCTGTATTCTACAAATTGCTTCATGAGGAAGAACAGGCAAATCTGATACAGTATCTTCTGACATTGTTACCAGCTGAGAAGACATAGGGAGGTTTTGGAAGTGACTTTGCTGGTTTATTTGTACTGGTCTTTTTCAATTTGTTTTCTAATTATTTCTAAATCTTTGTCCTCTTGTACTAAAATTGTCTTTGAAAATTAGCCATGCTCTAAATAACTGCATGCTTTATTCAAATTAAGTGTTCAGAGTAGAATTATTGTTGTGTAATATCTTGTTTCTAAAAAATAATGATGGAGCTACTGTGTGATTTTTTGGAATGTTTTAAATTAACCTTTATTTATATTTGTTGCTTTGGCCCAAGAGAAATTATGGCACTGTAACTCAAACTTATTTTTGAAAATAGCAGACACAATTTTTCATGTATTAATGGAAGGAATATCAAACCTCTCTTTTTACAGATTGTGAACATTTTGCTTACATAAACAACTTATGACTAAAACTTACATCTGTGCCATATTGCTTTCTGTATCACCCAGAGATCTTATTTATAATCTGTGTTGCAACTTCCTTCATGGATTGTATGTGTGATTCATATTTTGCATGCCCGTCCTATTTACTGTGCGTAGATATTGACTGTAAGTATATAGAAGTCAGAAATGTGATTGCATTTATCTTTGGTCGCCATAGTTGAACATGGTATCTGGCACATAGTAAGTACTTAATGAGTATTCCAGTGGATATTGATGATGGAAGACAATAATTCATCCTGAAGTTGTATAAATTTTAAAAATTTGGTCTCCAGGGGGCACCCACGTAGCCCACGCTTTCCTATTTTCTGAACCATAAGTGTGAATGAGACCTGGTTTTGACTTTCTCAGATTTCTCACGTAAGACTTCCGGTTACTTTGATTTTCAAAAGGTCTTGATTACAAATCCACAGAGCATATTTGCCCTCAAAAGAAACTAGATAGGGAAAATATGCTAGACTTTAAGATCCAGTGTTGAAGACTGGGACTCTTTCTTTCTTGAAGGGGGTAGAGTGAATAATTTTTTTTTTTTATAAAAAGTTTTTTTTTTTTTTAATTAATCTCTAAAAGAATCTGTAAAGATTCTGGTTCACAGAATCGACTGTACTAAAGCACCACTGTTTCATTAAGGATGCTTGTAACATGGGATTTTTATGTTGAGAATTTGGAAGAGGGGAGAATATCTTCAGATTATTTGCTGTATTTCTTTTGCCTTTCCATTTTAAATGCAAAGGTAATACATGCCTATTGGGAAAAGTTAAGTATTTTTAAATCCTGAGGTTACCAATATTAACTACTTCCCCATCACTTTCTCAGTATTCTTACAAAAATGTAAATATTTATAATTTTTACCTCCAATTGGGATTATTCTGTTTTTTTTACTAAATATATTATATATATCCTTTCAGATTTTATGTACAGATTTAATTCATACTTATTTGTAGCTGCACACTGTTCTGTATGTTACCATAGAATGGTGTATCATCTCTTGATGAATATTGAGGACAGTTTTGAGGGTTATTTAGCTATTGCAACAATGTTTCAATAAACTTCCTTGTGAATATGACTTTGCTTATGGTTGCTTTTATTTTGTAAGCAAGATTTCCTGAAAATGGATTGCTGGGTCAGAGGAATGTGCATTTTTTATTTTAATTGATAATTGTCCAGTTACTTTTGAAAAACATACTTGAGTTCCCCAGAGAAGCAGAACTAGTAGGAAATAAATGAAGATATAAATATATAAAAGATTTTTTTGGAGAAGTGGCTCACACAATTATAAAGGCCAAGAAGACACATGATATACCATGTGCAAGCTGGAGAACCAAGGAAGCTGCTGGTATAATGCAGTGAGTTGGAAGGTTTGAGAATCCTAAGTTCTAATGTCTGAAGACATCTGATGGCAGAAGATAGATGTCTCAGCTCTAGGAGAGCCCTTCCTCTGCCTTTTTGTTTAAATAGTACTCAATGGATTACATAATGCCTGCCTGCAGTG